AAATAATTTATTATTTTAATTTTATGTGTATGAGTGTATTGCCTGTATGTGTGTAAGTGCACCCATGTTGTGCAATGCCTCGGACCCCTTACAGAGAACCCGGGTTCAATTTTCACACCCACATGGCAGCTAACAACTGTCCATAACTCCAGCTCCAGGGGAATTTGCCACCCTCTTCTGACCTCCCAGGGCACTGCATGACATGTATTCACTTACATACACGCAGACAATACACTCATACATATAAAATATAGTAAATAAATTAGATTTTTTAAAAATCTGAACAGATTTCCAAGATGGTCAATATACATAAACAGGTTACACTTCAAACTAATGTTTCCAGGGGATATGATACCCACTTCTGTCCTCAGTGGGCATTGCAGGCATGTGGGCATTGCATGTACATACATGCAGGCAAAAACATTCAAACACATTAAATAAAATAAATCTTAAAGAAGACTGATGCTTCCTTTTAAGTACTGATTTCCATGTGTGTATTCTAGTCTCTAAGCTCATCATTCAGTAATACCACCAATAAACACATTTATAAATTCTTTAAAAAATGTCAATCATGAATCTAATCAAATACCTGCTAATAATTTGTATAAACAGAGTCAGGCTGAAAATGAATAAAGGTCTAATAAAACCAAGGCCAGGAGTGGTGGTGCACGCCTTTAATCCCAGCACTTGGGAGGCAGAGGCAGGTGGATCTTTGTGAGTTCAAGGCTAGCATGGTCTACATAGTGAGTTCCAGGACATCTGGGGCTACAGGGAGACCCTGTCTCAAAAAGACAAAAAACAAACAAACAAACAAACAAAAAACAAAAAAGATGTCTACAAAACAGCACAGAGGAAAAGCTTAAGATTGGCCATGGCAATGACTTTTTTGGGTACCAGATCACAGAGTCAAGCTACAAAAGCAACACAAATGGAACACATCAAATTAATAGAACTCTGCATAGCGGAGAAAACAAATCAACAAAATGAAAAGGAAATCTATGGATTGGAAAAAAAAATCTGTATGACAAATATGATAGATAGTTAACATCCAAAGTTTATAACAAACTCTCACAACTCCATGGCAAAAAAACAAATACCCTGATTAAATTATGAGCAAAGAAGCCAGATGTAGTGATGCATGCCTGTGTAAGAAACATTAAATATCAGGCTATGGGAGGGTGCCATCTGGGAAGTGGGTGTATATTTGAATAAGATGGTTTGGGATGTTCTATGTGATATACAAACACACAGACACACACAAAAAAATCAACAATTTTTAAAAAATGTATTATATTTGAGGAGGAAGCATGGAAACTTGTCATGTTAATTAGTAAACATTACCACTGAAATCTACCCGATGACTTTATAGACATACAGTGGTGCCAAGGATCCAAGTGCAACCAATTATGACTAGTAATAATTAGATACACACAGATTAGAGATGCATGTGCCAACATTTCAGTGTTAGTAGCAAAAACAATTGAGTCTTTCTGCAAGGAACAACATATTCTAAAATGAAATGGAGATCTTTTTTAAAGGTTAAAAACTCATTCAATTTTACGTCTTACAGGGCTTATACTGAGTTCAATATTATATAACTGTATTAATTCAACTGTGAACCTAGAAACTTGTAGCCACTTGTAAAAGAGTGAAAGCTCTTGCTCTGGAATGTGTTACTGAATATGTTAAAGCTGTAATGAAATGCTTCTTCTAATCATGTAGTTATTAAAAATTAAAAAAAAAACATTAAATATCAGTCTTTTCTGTCAAACCCTGTAAAACTTTGGTTTAGAACTAGGAATTCAAATCTTTCAATACCCCACAGGCCTGTAAAACTATCTCTGCAAAAGCCCTCTGCATTCAATCCTGAACCTGAAGGTCTGGGGTGGCTGAGGCCTTCCACACATGTAGCAAACACTCATACAAACACACACCATACACATGAATAAAATAAAACCTTAAAAAAATATACACACAGAGACTGAAGCAGGACAGATGGTATCTCAAGGTCAGCCTAAACTACACAGTAAGTTTGAGGCCACTGTAGGCTACATGGAACTGCACAACTATAATCACACTATGTCAGAGGATTAGGCAGGAAAGCTATAAATTCAAGGCTAGTTGGGACTACACAGCGAGGCCCTGTCTAAAAACAACAAACAAAACCAAGCCAACAAATTTTTTAAAAAACTAAAAAAAATAACACTCTAGGTAAGTGCTTATTAGCACAATATTCAATAAAAACCAGCAAGATAGGAGGGAGAAGAAAACAAAGAGATGATGATCCTGGAAAATTAAGCCCAATTTTACTCCATCCCAGTGACATCCTAATGAGTTTGCCTTGCGTCCCCACCTAAACGTCAACCCTCTTAGTGCAGACACTGGTTACACCTTTTTACATTTTCTAATATTCTTTACATTCAGAGATATAAGAAAATTATTTGTCAACTGACAAAGAAAACATGGCCCCATTTGTAACCTTGAAACTTAATCTTACCTTGCTACATCAAATAAGATTATATAACAATAAAGGACATACACAATTAAAAAAAGTGTCACCACAGCCCGCCCTCAATTTCCCCCTCCTCCCACTTGTTTTTCATTCACCACATCTCAAGGACTGCCTATTTGGTTTTCCCACCCACTATGACTTCCTCTTTTATTTCCTTCCCAAGTGACTACACCCAGTTGTTCCCAAAGCGTCTATGAGGTCATGTTTGGAGAAACAGATCACTCAAGAAAAACCAGAACTAAGTTGTCTCCTTTCCTAGTTCAAAACTACTTGTGAAAATACTCAATTGTTCCTACTCTTATTTCTGTGGACAGGGAAAACAACAACAAAAACCCCAATCAAAACCCAAAACAAGTCAGGCGTGGTGGCGCATGCCTCCAGAGGCAGAGGCAAGTGGATCTCTGTGAGTTCAAGGCCAGCCTGGTCTACAGTGAGTTCCAGAGCAGCTGGGGCTACAGGGAGACCCTGTCTCAAAAAGACCAAAAAAAAACCCAAAACAAAACATGGCAGACTGACTTGAGAGATGGCTCAGCAGAGGACCCCAGTCCAGTTTCCAGCATCAAGGTCAGATGACTTACAACTGCACCATAACTCTATTCCAGGGGATATGACACCCTCTCTGGCCTCTGCACGTACATGTGCATACACACACACAAACACACACACACACACACACACACACACGACTAAAAATAAATCTAAATTTTTTTATTTTTATTTTTTTATATGTATGAGTGTTTTGCCTGCAGGCATGTAAGTGTATTACATGTGTACAATGCCCTTGGAGGCCAGAAAGGGGCATCAGATTCCCCTGTAACTGGAGTTATGGATGGTTGTTAACTGCCATGTGAGTGCTGGGAATGGAACCATGGTCCTCTGCCAGTGTTCTGAACTATCTTTCCAGCCCTAATAAAAATAAATCTTAAGAGGACAGAAAAAAGGCTTCCAATTCATCAAAAACTATAGAACTAAAACTAAAGGCATATATGACAGAGGAAAAGCCACATGGATTCAATTTTAGAGAAACATGGTAGCTAACAACCTTCACAACTACAGTTTCAAAGGATCTGACACCCTTTTCTGATCTCCATAGGCATTGCATGACATGGGTGCACTTACATACATGCAGGCAACACTTGTACAAAAAAGTTTTTTTAAACATAAAATTTTATAAACCTACTAAATATATTATCATTGTTTTTTATACATTTTATAATAACTGAAGTATTCTTTAAAGCACAGTACGCTGGTGTGATGACACATGCTTGCAATGCCAGCAGTCAGGAAGCTGAAGCGGGAGGACTGTAAGCTCAAGGCCAGCTTGGGCTACATAGCAAGAACCTGTCTCAAACAAGCAGATAAACAAACCAACAAAACAAGGGATTGGGGATGTAGCTTAGCTGGTACAGTGTTTGCTAACATGCACAAAGTCCTGGTTAGAAACCATACACAACTCTTTATTGCTCTGCTCCAGAAATATTTAGACTCCTTTTTGAATGGGATTCAAGTTGGAATGGGAAATTATGAAAGTACTATGCAGAGAAGAGACAGGATTAAATGAGTTCAAGGAGAACTAATGCATGAAAATCACTGTTGACAGACCTGTCCCAAATTTGCTGAAGGGGTGTTTGGGATTCCCTGTAGCTTTTTCCAACTGGAAGAGTCTCCAGGCATCATTCATCACATTCTTCTCATGTTCTGAATCCACTGCATTCACCTCTCGGTCTTTACAACTTGCATCAAACAAGGGGCATAGGAAAAACTGAGCAAACCTAAGGGTACAAAACAGAATTAACAATTTGAGAACTGTCATTTTATTTATTTATTTACTTATTTACTTATTTATTTATTTTTTTGAGACAGGGTCTCCCTGTAGCCCCAGCTGGCCTACCAGGCTGGCCTTGAACTCACAGAGATCCACCTGCCTCTGCCTCCTGAGTGCTGGGATTAAAGGCGTGCGCCACCATGCCCAGCAGAGAACTGTCATTTTAAAAGAGCAGTTTTAGGCCAGGCATGGTGGTACATACCTGTAATCCTAGCACTTGGGAGGCAGAGGCAGGTGGATCTCTGTGATATCCAGGCCAGCCAGGTCTGCATAACAAGTAGCCTCAAGTCAACTGTGGCTACAGGGACATCCTGTCTCAAAACAAAACAAAAATAAAAGTTTTAAAAATATTTTTGAGGGCCAGGCTTGGTGGCACACGCCTTTAATCCCAGCACCTGGGAGGCAGAGGCAGACGGATCTCTGTGAGTTCAAGGCCAGCCTGGTCTACATAGTGAGTTCCAGGACAGCTGGGGCTACAGGGAGACCCTGTCTCAAAAAGGCCAAAAAAAAATTTTTTTTGAAAGCTATTCATTAATATGAGTTACATAAAATCAAAGAACTTAGGGCTGAGGATAGTTCGGTGGCAGAGCACTTGCTGAGAATACACAAGGCCCTGATTCAAACCCCAGCACGGGAAAAAAAGAATTTTTAAAAAGCTTTTAAAATTAGCCAGGCATGGTGGCATATTCCTTTTAATCATAGCACTCCAGAAACAGAGACAGGCAGATCTCTATGAGTTCAAGGCCAGTCTGGTCTACATAGCAAGTTCCAGGTCAGTCAGGGCTATGTAGTAAAACCCTGTCTCAAAAAATAACAAATAGGGGCTGAAAAGAGATGGCTCAGCAGTTAAAAGCATGGGGTGCTCTTGTGGAGGACCTAGGTTCAATTTCCAGCACCCATATGGCGGCCCTAAAGGTTCTGAAGCCTATAAACATCTTATTCACTATACCTCAGTATAGCTATCAAAGAGGCTGTTATTACTTGATATTTATTTTAAGTGCACAAATTAACATGATACTGGGTTAAGTACTTTATACAACCAATCCAAAAGTAAAATCCATCTGTCTGGAGTTGTACAATCAAATATGTATGAAACAGAGGTATTTAAGGACACAGAACCTCCTTTATGGACCTCAATACATTAAGGCTGATGAAAGGCCTAGGTAAAGAGTCATGTCTATGACACAGAATAATTAAGTTTTAAAACAAATTAAATAAAGCCAGCAGGGCATGGTGTCGCACACCTTTAATCCTAGTGCTTGGGAGGCAGAGGCAGGTGGATCTCTGTGAGTATGAGGCCAGCCTGGTCTACATAGTGAGTTCCAGGCCACCTGGGGCTACAGGGAGACCCTGTCTCAAAGAGACCAAAAAATAAATAAATAAATAAATAAAGCCAGTTGTGATGGCACATACCTACAATCACAACCGTCAGGAGGCTGAGGCAGAAAGAGAGCCTGGTGTTTAAGACCAACCTGGACTATACAGCAAAAATACCAGGTTACTGATCTGGCAAGACCATGTCTCAAAAAAATTAGTAATTATAATTACAGTAATGCTTTTTTAAATTCTATTTTATTTGTATGAGTGTTATGCCTACAAGTGTGTAAGTGCACCTATGTTGTGCTGTACCCAAGGAGGACAGAAAAGGGCATCGGATCCCCTGGAACCAGAGCTACAGATGGCTGTTAGCCACTATGTGGCTGCTGGGATCTGAATTGGAGTCTTCTGCAAGAGCAGCCAGTGCTCTTAACTGCTGAGTCGTCTCACCAGTCCACAATAATGGTTTTGGGGTTTTTTGGGGTTTTTTTTTAAAGTCTTTTTGAGACAGGGTCTCCCTGTAGGCCCAGCTGTCCTGGAACTCACTATGTAGACCAGGCTGGCCTTGAACTCACAGAGATCTGCCTGCCTCTGCCTCCCAAGTGCTGGGATTAAAGGCATGTGCCACCATGCCCAGCCACAATAATGTTTTATAAAAAAAAAGAAAAAAAACTACTACTTCAGGGGTCTAGAGAAATAGTTCTGTATGAGAGCACTGGCTACTCTTGCAGAGGTCCTGTGTTTGGTTCCCAGCATCCACATGATGGCTAACAACTTTCTAAAACTCTAGTGGCCTCTGCAGGCATTGCACACTGTGATGCACTTATATACATGCAGGCATGACACCCATACACATAACAATAAATAAAAACTTTAAAAAATAAAAGCAAATAAATACTTTTTTAAAAGATTTTTTGGAGCAGTGGGAGAGAGGTGACTCAGCAGTTAAGAGCTCTAACTGCTCTTGCAGAGGACTTGGGTTAAATTCCCAGCACCCACATGGCGGCTAACAACTGTCTATAACTCCAGTTCCAGGTGATCTGATGCCTGCTTCTGATCTCTGTGGGCATTGCACAACACGGGTGCACTTACACACATGCAAGCAATACACTCATACACATAAAAAAATAATAAAAAAAATTTTGGGGGCTAGAGAGATAGCTCAGTGTTTAAGAGCACTAGCTACTCTTGCAGAGGACCTAGGTTGGGTTCCCAGCACCAACATGGTGGTGGCTACAACCATCCATAACTTCAGTTCCAGGAAATCCAATGCCATCCTCTAGCCTCCACACTTACTGCACACACATGGTATACTTACATACATGCAAACAAAACACTCATATATATATACAATTTTTAAATTTAAAACAGATTTTATGGGGGCTGTACAGATGGCTCAGCACATATGCTTGTGCCACCTCTCCAGACCCTTAAAAAAATTACTCTTCTATTAGTGGATTTACTTCAAGCATGTAGCAGACATGTCCTCCATACAGACTATCTATAACATGAATATCTGTTGCAGTATTTTCAAAGCAGGAAATACAATTCAGCATATGATCCCATGGAACTCATTAATAAAAAGTTTCTAGAAATACATATAAAACATGATTGGCTGAAAATCTACAGCAGCAAAAGGATTGCTGAAAATTTGAGAACAACGTGGGCTACACAGTGAGACCCCAAAGTCAGGAAAGAAGGAAAACTGACCAAGAAATTAAATGATGGGGCAGTGAAATGGCTCAGCAAGTAAAAGTGCTTATAGCCAAGCCTGACAATCTGAGTTCAAGTCCCAGGACCCATATAGTAGGAGGAGAGAACCAACTTCCACATGCACAGCACACACATGGCCTCTCCCACCCCACAATAAATAAATGTAATTTAAAAATTAAAATAAACTGGCCTAATGGAGTTTACTCCATAAAATATTTTCAAAACAGCCTCAAAAGTGAAATAACAGGTTTAAATAGTCTGTATCTGAACTAGGGATATGGTTCAGTGGATTTAGCTCAAGGCTAAAGAGCTGAATTTGAATCCACAGAGCCCATGTAAAGTTAGATTCGGTGGCACGAGTCTGTAATCCCAGCACTCCTCTGGTGGGATGTGAGGCAGACAGCTTAGTATTCTAGTGTTCACAGCAGCAAATGACAAGAGACTCTGTTTCAAGAGGTGGAAGGCAAGGATCAACACCCAAAGTTGTCCTCTGACCTCCACATACATGCTGTGGCACCTGTGTGTCCGAACATGAACACATGAACACACACACACACACACACACACACACACACACACACACAGAGTTTTGTTTTTAATTCTATATCCACTAAGTATCATTGAGACGTTTCCCTAGAAACTAAAAAGAAAACAGACTATTTAAGGTCTAACATTCTGGAATGCATGTTTGAAGAGATCCGACACTGTCAGAGGTTATTCTTTGTCATGTGCTTTAGGTGCAACTCCAGTTAGAATAAGAAGGGCTAGTGAAAATCTTATGAATCAATACAATAGTTTATAGGCCTAAAGGCTGGTCTGAAGTCATGGCATTATTCTCATTTTACCATGAAGTAAATAATATGACATCTCTCATTACTTTTTCTGTTTTATAAAACATGGCAGTAGGGTGTTGGTTAAACTAGCTCTTTTATTTTTTTTTTAGAAGAAGCATTTCATTACAGCTTTGACATATTCATTAACAGTTTCCAGAGCAAAGATACATCTCTTTCAAAAGTGGCTATAAAATTTTTAGGTTCACTGTTGAATTAATACAGTTATACAATATTGAACTCAATATAAGCCCTGTAAGACATAAAATTGAGTTTTTAACCTTTAAAAAAGATCTCTATTTTGGGCAGGGTGTGTTGGCTCACGCCTTTAATCCCAGCACTCGGGAGGCAGAGGCAGGGGGATCTCTGTGAGTTCAAGGTCAGCCTGGGCTACATAGTAAGTTCAAAGACAACGAGAGAGAGAGAGAGAGAGAGAGAGTTTAAAGTCATCAGGTAGATTTCAATGGTAATGTTTATCACCTCTACTAATTAACATGATGTAAATTTTTATACTTCCTCCTCAAATAAAATTTATTTTTTAAAATTTGATTTTGTGTGTGTGTGTATGTATATCACACAGAACATTCCAAACCATCTTGAATTCAACTATACACCCACTTCCCAGATGGCACCCTCCCATAGACACCCCCCCCAACTAGAGCCCTTATACTCTTGTTATCCCTGCTACTGTCCGCTGTGATGTCATCACCCCCAGCCGTTCCCCACTACTTGTCCATCTGGTGAATCTAGTCAGCCTATCTAAAGGTCTTTATTTTAGGAAGGTCAGCTGTTCCTCATCTAGCAGCAATCAGTTGTCAATATTCCTTTAGATAAGATTGGGGTCTACTGTTCACTTTCCCAGTTTTATGCTGGGTTACTATCTAGGAATCTCTTGGGCCACCCTGGCCAACAACTCAAAAGAAGGTATCTCTTATCTGGCATTGTTGCTTGTTATGTAGCCTTTAGATATACATATGGACTCTTATGAAATTATGTTGGTCCATTTAATCTTTGGTTATACTTTCCTTTTGGGAGTTTAAGACCATACAGTTGGACCAGATAAACTGATTTATTTTTACTCTTAAGGTTGTTTGAGCATCTGTTCCTCAGGGGTCACATGGGCTTGGGAGGAGCCCCTTGGCTCCTTTCTTTTACCAGTTCCATCTATGTGAAGATAAGTCAAAGGTCCTACTATGCCTGCATGAACCAGAAAGGGCATTGGATTCCTTGGAGCTTGAATGTGGGTGCTGGAAACTGAACCCAGACTTGCAAGATCAGCTGGTGTTCTTAATCATGGAACCACCTCTCTAGCCCCCAAGTTTAATTTTTTAAAAATATTTTGTTATTTCTATTTTATTTTACACATATGAGTGTGTTGTCTGCATATATGTAAGTGCACCCACGTCTTACATTTCCTGTAGATGTTAGAAAAAGGCATTGGATTCCCTGGAACTGGCATTATAGACAGTTGTTAGCCACTGTGTAGGTGCTGGGAATCAAACCCAGGTCTTCTGCAAGAGCAGTCAGTGTTCCTTAACTGCTGAGTCATCTCTCCAGTCCAAAATATCTTTTTGAAAAAAAAAATTATATTTATTTGGGCATAGGGAGAGGTGCACACCATGGCATGTATGAGGCCAGAGGGCAGCCTGTGGGAGTCAATTCTCTCCTTCTGTCTTGTGGGTCCTAGGGATGGAATCAGGTCATCAGGTTTGACAGCAAGTGTCTGTGTTTACCTGCTGAGCCATTTCACCAGTCCTAAAATATCTTTTGCTAAACTATAAAACTATGATATCATCTCTGTCAAAAAATATTACTTTTAAGCTGGGCATGGTGGTGCACGCCTGTAGTCTCAGCACTTGGGAGGCAGAGGCAGGTGGATCTCTGTGAGTTCAAGGCCAGCCTGGTCTACATAGCGAGTTCCAGGATAGCTCGGGCTACAGGGAGACCCTGTCTCAAAAAGCCCCCCCCCCCCAAAAAAAATTACTTTTACTAATAGGAGTAACTGCACAAAATTCAGTAATTTGCACAGCATTCAGTATTACCTGTCCAGGGCACCTTCCAAGTGTTCATGGGAAACATCAAAATAGTAATTGGTATGCTCTCCACTAGTAAAGGCATTTGAACTTCCGGCATGCTCACTGAGAAACTGGCTGTATTCATTTTCTTTAGGATATTTCTTAGTTCCCAAAAAAAGCATATGTTCACAAAAGTGACTTAAGCCAGCAATATTTGGAGGATCTGACAATGAACCTGAAACAGAAAGCATATATATAATAAATCATTTTAAATGTCAAAGACTAGTAAATGGAGATGAATTATGATTTGAAATTTTTAGCATAGTTACAACAACACAATCGAAAGTTAAGCAGAGGCTACTCTAAAATAGTATTCTTTAGAAGGTAAATAAGTAATTAGAAGACCTAGATTCTAGTTCCTCCCCTGGATATTACTCAGCTAGTAACACTAGGCTCTCTGAAGAGCCCAGGTTTGGGGATTAGCAGCTCTACAATTGGAAAACTTTGCTTGTTTCTATTTTGAGATAGAGTCTCCCTATTTACCCCAGGCTGGCCTCGAACTCACAGAGATCCACATGCCTCAACCTCCTGAGTTCTACAAGTGTGAGCCATCACACCTAGGATAGCTGTGAACTGGAAGCATTAACACCTTACCTTGCCTCACTGGTACTTCCTATTTATACCTTAGAGTCCTTTGAGTACAAGTTAGACATTTGCGGAGCACTCTGCATTACAATAGCAGTAGTTATTTGTCATTGTTATCTTCCGCTCAACTCTAAACTGCCACTGAATTAAATAAAGCTATTAATTTATTTAGTGTGTACATGTGTGGTATTTTTCAGACCGGTTCTCTCTGTAAGCCCCCCTATGTAGACCCAGCTGGCCTGTCTCACAGAGCTCTGCCTGTCTCTGCCTCCAGAGTGCTGGGCTTAAAGGCGTGTGCCACCATACCCAGCAACTTTTTATTTTAAAAAACACTTATTAAAAAGAAACATTTTCTCAACAAGTGTATGTGTGTATAAGGAATAAGAGAATAGGCTGAGGGTGGTGGAGAACATTAGTAATCCCAGTACTTAGGAGACAGAGGCAGGCATATCTCTGTGAGTTCAAGGCCAGCCTAGTCTACATAATGAGTTCTAGGCTTCTGCCTCATATTGTGACCTTGTCTTAAAAAAATGGGGGATGGATAAAAGGATTAAAGTGACATTAAATGTAGAAAAAATGTGCACACAACAATCTGTAAATCTGCCATTAAAGATACCAAAATGGGAAAGTAAGAGTTGTTACTGTAGGGGCTGGAGAGATGGCTCAGTGGTTAAAAACACTGGCTGTTCTTGCAGAAGACCCGGGTTCGAATCCCAGCACCCACATGGCAGCTAACAACTGTCCGTAACTCCAGTTCCAGAAGATCTGACAGCCTCTTCTGTCCTCCGCAGGCATTGCACGACACAGGTGCACTTACCTACATGCAGGCAATACATGTATACACATAAAATAAAATAAAAAAATATTTAAAAACAAAAAACAAGTGCTGTTACTGTAAAGAACAGAAATGAATTTCCTTGCTGCCAGGTCACCCAAGGTGGGAACTTAGCAGGATGGTCTTAGTAAATGAAATAATGAGTTCCAGGCCAGGGCTAAGAGTGAGACCCTGTCTCAAAACAAACATCATAACCTGGAGCAGTGCTTATACCTATAGTCCCAGCACTTGGGAAGCAGGATGATCATGTCAATTTTAAGGCCAACATGGGCAACACATTGAAGTTTAGGGCTGTATGAGCTACTGAGACCCTGTCTCAAATCCAAAAAAAACCAGTAAAAATAATAAAAATAAATACGAAAGAAGTAGTAATTATAAGTATTACAAGTAGTAATATTGAGTCCTTACACTCATGGCGAGTTCTAATAAATGCTGTCAACATCAGGCCATTCACAAAACACAACTGTACCTATGTGCACATCAAGTGCAGCTGACGACTTGTCCGTGGTGGGGTCACTGATGAGGAGCACTTTGATACCATTGGCCAGTTCCAGTCCCCGATACTCTCTTTTATCTTCAGGAGATTTGACAATTTGGTCTTCTATTCTCTGGATAGCAGGATTACTCATTTTGCTGTAAGTCTTTTTTTGGAAACTGGAAAGAAAAGGATATTTGTTGCATTGTGACTCTTAAATAACAAACAACATGAAATCATATACTGCCCCAATACCTGCTTGAAAGTTTTTCTGGGGACCGAGCCCCCTCCCCCTTGTACAAGCCAAGCAGGTGCTCTCCCCTGAGTGCCATCAGGTTCTGGAGGAAACATTTTATAGCCTATTTACAGGGTGCAGTCATTCCTCCTCAGTCTACCCCTCATTCTTTCCAAAAGTTGCTAACAGTGTTGCTTTGTGAAGCCATATTTGTATATGGGCTAGCACATCAATGGGGATTTGACAAAGGGATAGTTGAGCCATGAGCTAGTCAGTTCACTGGCCTGGAGCTGGGTTTTTAACTACGAATAACTATTTTCAAACACATTCTAGAGGTACCTGGTAGAGAGTGAGGTAAGAAGTTGTGTAAGAATTATTACTGGATTAGCCAAAACATTGTTCAGTCTGATGACATTCTAAGATAAAGCAGATCTGGGATTTATGAGTCTTACATGCACATGCTCAAAACATACAAAATCCCACCAAGAACAATGCTATGAATCTTTTAAAATATAAAGAGACATGTGCCATTCTATGAAAGCACCAAAAGCCAGAATGTAAAATAAATAAAAAGTTAAAAGGACCTCAAGTAATTTTTGTAATCTGCTGAAGAGTTGACTGCCAGAACAGAAGCAGTCTGGCAATCCTAACAGATGCCAGATAAATGATCTTTCAAGGGGCTCCTCTGGTAGTTCTTTCCTTTCTTCTCTAGGAAGGCTAGAGACACAGTGATGGAAAAGGAACTACCAGCACAGAGAATCCTTCAGGGTGTGTGTTGGTATTAGTGCACTGAAGGGATTTTCCAGAATTTGTGGTATGTGTGATTTTGAGGGTTTTTGTTGTTGTTGTTGTTGTTGTTGCTGTCGTTGCTATTTTAGAGTAGGGTAGATGGTATTTTTGTCTATACTGGATACTGCTTCAAAGATATATCATTAAACTTAAACTATTGGCTAGTTTACATATCAACCAGGTAAACCCCAAAACATATCTGAAATGACAGAGGAAAAATAAACCTAGTACATTAACTTCTTATTTAGAAGACAAAAGAAGTGGGTTTGACTGTCTTAAAAGATTGACAGCCTGAGGTGGGGATATAGCTATGGGGTTGAACCCATGCTTAACATGCATGAGGCCTTTACTGTGATCATCCACACTACAAAAATAAAAAGACAAATAAACGACCAATAGCCAGATTTAAAGGTAAATCAAAGGGACCATAAATAAGCATACAATTATTTTGGATAAAATATTGTGTTGAAACTTCAAGACATGGGCTTGGGAGATGGCTCAGTGGTTTAAGTGCTTGCCAAGGAAGCATGAGGACTGAAGTCTGGATCCCAGGAACCCAGGAGAAAAAGCCAGCTGGATGTGATGGCCCATCTGTAATTCCAGCCTTAGAAGGCTAAGACAGGGGATCCCCAAAGCAAGATGGCTAATGAGACTATCCATATTGGTGAGCTCTAGATTTGAGAGACCCTGCTTCCTTGGATAAGATGATTCCAGACATCAACATAAGGCCTCCACATGTACACATACAACCCCCCACATGCCCACACACATGCAAAACATGCACACGCACACATCCACATACATGAAAATGGAAATAAAACTTCAAGACATTAAAAGTCTGATTTTTATTAGAATTCATTCCTCTGTAAAATTATCTATAATTATTTGTATGATCAGATTAAGGGCTGATGAACCAGAGAGATTTGCTCCTATTAACACTGTTCCATATACCTCTTCTTTTCAAAAATGATAATTGGATTTTGTTTGGCTGGTTTTTGTTTTGTTTTGTTTTGTTTTTGTGAGATACTTTCTCCATACACAGCCCAAGCTCGTCTCAAACTCAAAAGTCCTTCTGCCTCAGTCCCCCATGTACTGGAATTATAAGTGTGTACTCATGCCTGACTCATACTTGGAATTTTAAAGATCAATACTGTAAGTAACATTAAATGTATAATACTGATTTTAAAAATTAAATGCTTTACATAGATAATAACCTTGCCCTATTTAGAGTGATAATATTTTTTTTAATTTATGTGTATGTATACTACATGTACACAGATCCCCTGGAACTAGATTTACAGGTGGTTGTGAGTTGCTTGATATGGATGCTGGAAACAGAGCCCAGGTGCTCTGCAAAAGCAGTTAAGTGCTCTTAACTGCTGAACCATCTCTCCAGCCCCTGAAAATAACTTATTTAAAAAACAAACCATAAAATTCAATACTGGGACTGGGTAGATGTCTCAGTCTAAAAATGCTTGCCACACAAGCATGAGGAACTGAGCTCAGATATCTAGCACCAACATAAAAGCAAGGTGCTGGATGTGGCAAACACTCTGTAACCCTAGCTCAGAAGGTGCAGAGAAACATGGATCCCTAGTCATTCTATCTGAATTGGTGAGCTCCAGGTTCAATGAAAGACCTTGCCTCAAAAATAAGGTGGAGGGCAGGTGAGAGAGCTCAGCAAATACAGATAACTGTTGCCAAGCCAGACGGTTTGAGTTTGATTCCTGGGATCCACATGGTGGAAAAAGAAAACCAACTCCTGAACGTTGTCCTCTGACCTCCACACACTTGTGTTCACACACACACACACACACACACACACACACACACACACATAAATTAAGGTGGAAAACGACTATAGAACACACCCAACATCAACCTCTGGTCTCTACACACATACATACACACACACACACACACACACACACACACACAAATACACATGTGCATATTCACAAACATGTATGTACACATTCATACACATACACAAACAACACACAAATATTGACTTTTTTTTAGTATAAGGCCACCACTGAAAAATTCAAAAGCGGCAATTTGGAAGTGAAAAGTCTGTTTGGGGAGACAGGCTTGTTTGCATGGTTTTCTGTTTGTTCATTTTTGGTGGAATTCTTTGTTATTTTTGTGTTTTAAGATTGTATTCAAGCCAGGCATGGTGGCACACACCTTTATCCCAGCACTCGGGAGGCAGAGGCAGGTGGATCTCTGTGAGTTCAAGGTCAGCCTGGTCTACATAGTGAGTTCCAGGACAGCTGGGGATATAAGGAGACTCTGTTTCAAAAAGACCAAAAAAAATATATATATTATTCATGTGTTTATATGTATGAGAATGTATGCCGTGTTCCTACAGAGGTCAGAAGACAGCATCTGATCCCCTAGAACTGGAGTTACAGGCAGTTCTGAGTCACCCAATATGGGTACTGGAAACTGAACTTAGGTCCTCTGGAAGAACAGGAAGCATTTTATTTATTTATTTATTTATTTATTTATTTATTTATTTATTTATTTTTGGTCTTTTTGAGACAGGGTCTCCCTGTAGCCCCAGGTGTCCTGGAACTCAACTATGTAGACCAGGCTGGCCTCGAACTCACAGAGATCCACCTGCCTCTGCCTTGTGAATACTGGGATTAAAGGCATGTGCCACCATGCCTGGCTGACTAGGAAGCATTTTTTTAAAAATGTGTATGAGTGTTTTGCCTCCATATAAATAAGTATACCATGTGAGTGCAGTGTCCTGGGGGTCCAGAAGAGGGTGCTGGATCCCCTGAAACTGGAGTTAGAGACGGTTGTTAGCCACCATGTGGGTGCTGAGAACTGAATCTAGCTCCTCTGCAAGGGCAGCCAGTGTTCCTAACCATTCAGCCATCTCCAGCCCCAAGGAATGGCTCTTAACCTGATCCATCTCTCAAGATCCTCCTTTGATTTTTTTGAAACAGGGTTTCCTGTAACCCAGGCTGGCCTCAAGCAAGATTATGTAGCTAATGATGACATTGAATCTGCTTGATTTTACTTCCCAAGTGCTGAGATCATAGGCACGCACCAGCATGCACCACCATGCCCTGGCGAAAAGCCACTATTAACAACTATTTTTTACTATTTTCATTAGCCATAAGGCAATCTAATTGTCAAAGAAAGATGGAAATAATCAAAACTTAAATTCTAAAAACTGGTATTCAGGGCAAAAACACCACCTCAGGATAACAAAAGTGGTCTATTTAAGACTCCAAATAAGGGCATTGGGAACCTCAGATAATGGTTGTGCTAAATACCTTTAGTTGTCAACTTGACACACCTGGATAGAGGAAGCCTCAATTGGGAAACTGCCTCCATTGGACTGGCCTGTGGCCATGTCTGTGGGGTATTTTCTTGATTTTTTGTGTGATGTGGGAGGGCCTAGCCCACTGTGGCAGGTTGTTCTGCATTTTTAAGAAAGCTGGCTGAGGGGCTGGAGAGATGGCTCAGCAGTTAAGAACACTGACTGTTCTTGCAGAAGACCCAGGTTCGAATCCCAGCACCCACATGACAGCTAATAACTGTCCCTAACTCCAGTTCCAGGGGATCTGACAGCCTCTTCTGTCCTCCACAAGCATTGTGAGACACGGGTACAATTACCTACATGCAGGCATAACACTCATACACATAAAATAAAAATTATTTTTAGGACATACATATTTATAAAATATTACATATATATCATCTATGTCCACATATAACATATATATGTGGTATATGTAG